CTCTAGTGTGCGTTTGCCCTAGAGTATTCCTTCTTACGACAGATAGCCCAAACCTATGTCATAAATCTCCAGGATGGCGTCATAACGTTTTATCAGGGAAAATGCCATGGTATTCATTCATATAACTTCTTAATTCCTCATCAACCCCTCAACTTGGCTTAAATGAACCACTCGAAGTTATGTGGAAAATAGTTGTCCTTGATAAAATACAACCTTCGACCTCATCCCCAGGTCTTCTCCCTAGCTTCCTACAAATTATTATTTTTTCTTGATTTGAGATAAAAGTAATATCAACGCCCATGGAAGGAGCAGTCAAGAAATCCAATGAGGTGTTGCACTGGGCAAATCTGCTGCAAAAGACTTCTTTAAAGTGTTAAAAAGCAAAGACGTCACTTTGAGGACTAAGGTGTGCCTGACCCAAAAACCAAAACCATTGCCGTCGAGTTGATTCCAACTCATAGCAATTCTATAGGACAGAGTAGAACTGCCCCATGGGGTTTCCATGGAGCAGCTGGTGGATTTGGACTGCCAACCTTTTGGTTAGCAGCCAAGCTCTTAACCACTGAGCCACCCGGGCTCCAACCCAAGCCATGGTATTTTCAGTCACCTCATATGCATGTGAAAGCTGGACAATGAATAAGGAAGACCGAAGAAGAATTGATGCCTTTGAATTATGGCGTTGGTGAAGAATATTGAAGATACCATGGACTGCCAGAAGAATGAACAAATCTGTCTTGAAAGAAGTACAGCCAGAATGCTCCTTAGAAGCGAGGATGGTGAGACTTCATCTTACATCCTTTGGACATGTTATCAGGAGGAACCAGTCCCTGGAGAAGGACATCATGCTTGGTAAAGTAGAGGGTCAGCAAAAAAGAGGAAGACCCTCCACAAGATGGATTGATACAGTGGCTGCAACCATGGGCTCAAGCGTAACAACAATTGTGAGGATGGCGCAGGACTGGGCAGTGTTTCATTCTGTTGTACATAGGGTTGCTATGAGTTGGAACTGACTCAACAGCACCTAACAGCAACAAATATAAGTAGACTTTTCCAAAGGCAAATTTATTTTGGTGTTTGAAATAGGCCATCTAGTCTCATGCAGGTGGAAACTGAAGGTCAACAAGTGAATAGGAGAGAGAAGTTTCCCATGTCCGGGGCCCCTTTTCTGATGACGACTAAGCCTTGAGATATGCTTAGAAATAGGCAAGAGGTGATGAACAGTGCTCTACATTCAAATAGGCTTTGGGCTCAGCAAAAGTTTAAAATGTGATAAAAGCTCCATAGTATAGAAAGTGAAAAGATTAAAAAAAAAGAGGGAAAATCCTCTATGGACTGAAAAAAATTGTTCTCCATTACTGTGTTGCCACAAATTTCTGTTGGACAAGACCAAGATAGAGGGATAAAATAAATACTGCATTTTGATACAGCAAAAGAATCTGTAGCAGCAACACTATGCTTTGATTTCTGAGATGTTATCAGAACAGCCCCTTGAAATTTATAGTCATAACTGGACCTATGTTTTGCTGTATGTTTGAGTTTTCAAGAAGATAATTTTTACAGGAAGATGAAAAAACTACAGTGACTCTTCCACCATGTCTTGAATGGCAACACAGGCACCAAGGAGGAACTTTGCCTTTTTCCCCCAGTATAGTACATAAAATGTAACAGGGCTTGATGTATCACATAACAAAAAGTTAAATTCATGTCAAGGCCTCAACTCGGGGTTTTGGAAGAAACATTTTCTGGATTCTGTAGAATCTGACAGTTAACAATGGTCTAAGTATATTAAAGAACCAGGCTTTATGGCTTTAATCACCACCTACTGCAGAGGTAAAATTCTGAGAAAAAAGTTTTTTATAGGGTTAAGACCCCTTCATAGTAAATGCTTTATTCCTAACACATTATTAGAGATTCTACCATAGAAGAAAGACTATTGCAATTGTCTATTTTCATTTGATACAATTATTTTGTTTTGTACAGGAAAAGAGATCCTTATTTCAAATTATTTTTTTGACAGGCCCTCCACAGTAGGACCCAGGGGTAATTGACTCTAAGGGTTTTCAATATAGAGGCTATGTCATGTATAATCTCTGACACTCTAGTAACTAGCCTGTAGTAGGTGCTCAATTAATAGCTGGTATTATAAATTAATGTTCATTTTTGAAGATCCCCACAAATCTGAAGCTTCCTTCCATATTCTTTCTCAGTATTTGATTAAAATAACAATTTTACTAGCCTCAGGTCCTGCATGAATCCAAAACATAAGATAGACCTTTTATCTGGAATTCACGGTACAAATAATACAGTTCTCCAGTATATAAATACACAGCAGATGAAGGTGAAGAGGAGGGCAATGGGAAGTGGCTGCTTCTTAAAAATAATACTTTCTGTCTACAAAAATGGTCACCAGGCCACCCAGAATATGTTCAAGGATCTAAATAAGGACTGTTGACTAATTACTTCCATTAGCCTTCCTCCTTGAGGTTCAAAGTTGCACCTGTCCTTCTTCCTCCTGCTTAGAAGGACCAGCTCTCCCAAGACCCAACATGAATCTCCCAGAACTAGGCTACTGTAGGTTGGGAGGCAGTAGAGCAAGACATCTTTGCACCTTCAGGTGCTGAAAACTCAGCCTCTTTTGAGGAGTTGCCAGGTCCTCCTGGGTCCTAGGAGAGCCAAGTCAGACTATGAAGATTCACAGCAAATGATCATGTCTCTCTGGCATGGTTTTCCCAGCTGCGGAACAGAGGTAAGAAGACTGGCCAGAGCTAGGGAAACCTGGTTTTGGGGAGGGTTTCTGCCGACAGTTTGAAATGATTCTGAAGAATTAGTTTGGTGGCTTATTTTTTTACTTGGGGCTATCTTTGAGAGGGATGTTTATATGGAACAAAAGCAACCTCAGTGAAAATGAAATCACAGTTAGGAGAAGGTGCAAGGACGACGCTAACATGAATTACCGTACTCCTTATGATTCTGATGTGAATGATATTAAAATGCAATGATTTCGCCAGGAGAACTCTTCGAAGTGCAGTTCTTTTCTGAATCAGTTGCATTGGTGAGGAAACAAAAAATGCCTGTGCTTTCTCAAGGATTTTAAATAGATCTGTAATTTTCTTTTTACTCCACTCCCTACTACTCAAATTTAAACTAATCAAAGAATCCATGGGAATAAAATTACTGTCCTTGGTGGAGGGAGTCCTATGTATTTTTATAGCAACCGTGCTTTTATAGCCAAAAAAAAAAAAAAAAAGATTGTGGAGGCTTTGGTATCCATGTGGATTTATTAGGGGGAAGAAAGATATATTTTCCTCCTTCTAGCTCTAAAATTTCACCCTCTCTAAAAGTAGAGAGGATCAGATTGAGTGGTCAGACAAAAAGTAAAACTTCACAGCATCTAGCAATCAGAATAATTTAATTAACTTTACAGGCTCTACAGCCCATCGCCTTATTCATTAATTTTTCAGCATTGCTGGCAGTTGCATTTGGGCTTTAAAATAACAAATGCACATTTATCTCCTAAGTTCAGGATAATTAAAACAATATTCTACTCTCAACCAGGAAACAGAATGTATTCCATCCAAGTAAGCTTTGAAGAGGCTAGTCAAGTGACAGATCAAATAAAAAGGACACTTAATACACATGTAAATCATTTGCATTACAAATAAGACACTTTAGCAGGGGTTGAACTCGCTGCCCGCGATGTCAGGATTAAGTTCCCATATTAATGCATGCATTTGGTGTGGTTATTTTGGGTGGAAGACTTCATCCATCAATGCCCTCCGCCCCTAAGTAAAGCCAGCCTGTAAACTGATCACCACAGGCTGTCAACACTGGTTGCTTAATTACATAAAGAAAATACATTTAAAAGACTTTTGTTAATTTGGTTAGTATTTCAACTTTGGGTTCAATGTGTAGCATATGTTTTAGGGTACCTCAAAAATAGCAGTTAAAAGGTATTTTTAAGAATTAAAGACAAAGTTGAAAAAGCTAAATGCGACTTTTATGCCTCCTGCTAATCTTTTTTTTGTTTTGTCTTTATTTGCAGAAATAAAAATATTCAGTGAGCACTAATTAAAGCTAAAATGAATGGAATGGCATTGTTTTAAGATATTTCCATTAAAAATTAAACAGTGTACTGTGCTATTAATCTCTTCTGATTAGTAAGTTTTAACAATTACTAATTCTAACTTATTAGTTATTATTAATAATGTTATTAATTGGTAGTTTTAAAATACTGATCAAATCTTTTTCTCATAGAAACAAGAAACTTTGTTTTTGGAGGAAATTTTTTTTGACTGAAGAGTGTTTTTATGTTTTCAGTTTAATTACTTTTAAAAGTTTATACATTTTATGAAATTATCTACATAAAACTAGTGAAAGAATACAATCTATCTGTGATATTCAGAGGTATTCTCTTTTACGAGGGTGTTTTATTTTCTTTCCATGTAAGAAATCAATAATGTCACACATATGGAAGTTCCAAAACACGGATAAAAGTAACAAATACCTGCATCTGTATATGAAAAAAAAGGTAACAAATCTGGAAATATTGTCACAAATTGCTTTTTGAAACCATGATCAAATCTGTTAACCATTTAAGAAAGCATTCCAAGGTCCCTCTCCCCTCCCCAACCTTGCAAATCACATGGTGAAAAATTTATGATTGAGCCTAGGAAAATATGCTTCAAGATGTAATCTGTTCACCACTGGCAATTAACATCTTTAAATTACACTTTAAGAATCCCTTGCAATTGAATGATACAATTATAATTTGATCATTTTAGTCAATATTCCTTCATAAACTTTATCAGATAATTTTCAATTGGTTAAATTCTTGCTATCTTTTTCCTCTGTTCTTTTTATTCTAAAGTATCCTTTCCTTAAACCACAGCAATTCCATTATTTTGCATTCTGTTTTAAAAATTGGATATCTGTTTAAAAATAAATACCAAAATAAACACACTTTACTATAAAAAAGTACAAGGTTTATGGCTGAGTCTTACCGTCTTTCTTAATGGGTTCTGGCATGACCACAGTAAAGTGTTATTTTCCAAAGAGTTTTCTTGCCTCCAGTACTAGCTGACAGAAGCCCCACAGACAGTGGAGAGATGGTGCAGGTCAGTGTGACAAGCAGCTGGGGAGAAATCCAGTGCTTTTATACTGATCTGAATATCAGTCATGTTGGCACCTCCCCTTCTTCAGCGCAAAGATGCTGGAACTTGACAGCTATGGGGACCTTTCTCCCATCTGTTGTCTGCGCTCTGCTCTCTGCCTACTGGAAGGAATCTCCTGTCCATCTCATGTGGTGATGAGAACACCTCTAACTTTCTAAATTCAGCGCAGCCTCGTGCTCCTTCTTGCTCTTCTCTTTCTGTCTGACACGTGCATGTGCCAACTCAAGAGTGCAAGAAGTTGACAGGATACTAGAAAATTCAATTACGTTAAAATCATAACATGCTAATGAACATATATCTTAATTTGCATGAACATTAGAAAGAACAGTCTCTGTCTTCAGATGGTACTTTTATGCCCCATTAGTTTTTCATCATCACCAGTTCTTAATTATTGGATGTTAAAAAAAAAATCTTAGTTTCATTAAGAGGTCAAGTGCCAAGCCAAATTTCCATTGAATAGCTTGTCTTATTTTCTCCTTCATGCATAGCAAAATTTCTTATTAAAGGATACTCGGCATTTGCCTTTTTTCAAGAAACTTCCTTTAAAAAAAGTACAGGGCATAAAAGGGAATGAAGTACATCCATGCTACAAACATGAATGAAGCTGGAAAGCATTATGCTAAGTGAAAGAAGCCAGACACAAAAGGCCACATATTGTATGATTCTGTTTGTATGAAGTGTCCAAAATGGGCAAATCCATAGAGACGGAAAGCAAATCAGTGATTGCCAGGTGCTGGCAGGAGGTGGAATGGGGAGTGATTGCTAATAGGTTGTTCTTAGCTGCCTTGAGTCGCCCCTGACTCATGGCGACCGCATACACAAGGAAACTAAATGTGGCCCTGTCCTGCACCGTCGCCATCATTGGTTATGGATTGGACCATTGTGATCCATAGGGTTTTCATTGGCTGATTTTTGCAAGTAGATTGCCAGGCCTTTCTTCCTAGTCCATCTTAGTATGAAAGAGCCACTGAAACATGTTCAGCATCATAGCAACACGCAAACCTCCACTGACAGATGAGTGGTGGCTGCGCTTGAGGTGCACTGGCTGGGAATCAAACCTGAGTCTCCCACATGGAAGGCTAGAATTCTACCACTGAACCAACGCTGCCTCTCTAATGGATACAGGGTTTCTTTTGGGAGAAATGAAAATGCTCTGGAATTATAGAGTGGTGGGTGATGGTTGCACAACTTTGTGAATATACTAAAAAGCACTGAATTGTACACTTAAAAAAAATATGCGGCATGGCAAAGAAAGTCAGATAGACCAGCAGCCATTGTTTTGTTTTAAGATGACACACTAACACACAAATATAATTTACGATCTTGGTAGAATGTATCAGATGTGGCCACTTTCTCTCAAAACTCTCATGGAACTGGTAGAGAAATCTCAACTACAAAGTGTCAAACTCAAAAAAGATACCTTTCTTTGTTCACGCATAGCATCTCAGAGACTAGGACTGAAATTAGTTTATATATAAAGACAACTACTTGGCTTGCCTTCATTGGTGTGTGTTTTCGAGATTGTCAAGAGACTGATTGATTTGTACTGAACCAGCCACACTTTCTCATTTAATTTCTCTTGCGGCTGAGAGCACAGCTGGTCAGACTTAGCATTACCAAACTCCGTGCCAAGCTAACTTTTCATATAGGAATGGAAACTCAGCTTGGAACTCAATAGCATCACACTTTAGCTATGTGTATGCGTGGGGGCGGGGGGAGCAGTCAAAAAGGTTGGTGAACATCTTCTATAAAGAAAGCTCCTTCTCAACCACATAATGCTACTGAGCATATCCTTTTGCTTTCTTAAATATTTCTTTGCCCTTAGATGCTGTCTCAGTTTTCTTTTAGTACTGTTGTAACAGAAATACCACAAGTGGGTGGCTTTAAGAAATGTATCTTCTCATAGTTTAGGAGGCTAGAAACATGAATTCAGGGCACCAGCTCTAGGGCAAGGCTCTATGTTAGCTCTGGTGGAAAATCCTTGTCTCAGGTTCTCTAGCCCAAGAGTTCCTTGACTATCTCCATGTGGTGTCTATCTTTCCCCCGTTTGTGCCCAGTCTGCTCTTTTTATAGCTCAAAAGTGAGTAGGTTTAAGATACACCTTACACTGATATGGCCTCATTAATATAACAAAGAAAACCCTGTTCCCAAATGGGATTACATCCACAGGAGTAGAGGTTAGGATTCCAACACATTTTTTTTGGGGGGGCATACTTCAATTCATAAAAAATGCTTAGCTAAATGTCCGCCAGAAAACAGCATATTCCGTAACACAAAGTAAGATGTGGCATGAAAGAAAAAAAAAGTAACTTTCCTGAACCGATGACCAGAGTGTCAATTAACAGATGAAACAAATTAAAGAACCTAAAACTTGAAGTCAGACACTTGGGTTCTATTTGTGGCCCTATCATTAATCAGGTGTATTACCCTGAGAAAGTCAGGTGGTCTTTCTGGGCCTCAGTTTTCTCTTCTGTAAAAAAAAAAAAAAAAAAATAGAGGTCTCTTCTAGGTTTAAGACTGATTCTACACGTCTACACGAAGTCCCCCAAAAAGGATCTTTTTTTTTTTCCAGCTTTCCCAGGACACTGAACACTACATACGAAATGGACGTAAGAGCGGAGTATCATATGACAGAAGAACGTTTAGAGTGATGGGCAGATTTCACACATGCCACCAAGGAGGTGCCATGCCATCATTGGCTTCTGACACATGCAGAAACCCTGTTGGGTTTTTAATAACTGATCATTTTACTGAAGTGCACATGTGCCAGGAAATATTGTAACCTGTGGAGAAAATATTTTATGACCTTGGGAACATTTAGGTAATAAAGGACTTGGTTTTAAAAGACAAAACATTATTGGAGGAATTGGAAGTATGGACAAATTCTAAGATAAAGAGTTGTAGAGTGTATCAGGTGGTTGAGGTAAAATTTTAAGTTACGATAATAAGTAGATGTGTAACTTTCTCATAACTGTACTGTTTTAGGAACACATACCCTTATTTCAGATCTTAGACATCTATCTAGAAGGTGAGTGGCTTCCTTTTCTTCCATCCCATTCTCAGGAAGGGAAGGGAAAATGGTCAATGGGATTCTTTTTAAAAATACTTTTTGTGGTAAAATGCTTTATTGGATTTTTCCTTTTGTATTATGTAGGATGAGGGTCGACTGCATATAAGACAAAATCATAAAATAGCAACAGTTGAATCAAGATGGGAGTATTTCTCTCTCATATAAAGCAAGTTCAGAGGCAAGTAGTCTAAAGTCACTATGGTGGCTCCAGGAATCCAGGCTCCTTCTTTCTTCCTCTCTGCCATTCTCCAGGTAACTTCATGGTCTAAAATGGCTGCTAGTGTTCTAGCCATTAAATTCACATTTTAGGCAGCAGGAAAGAAGAAAGGAGGACTCACCTTCTCTCTTTTAAGGAGCCTTCTTGAAAGTCCCACACAACACATCTAATGCTTCCTACTGGGCAGAACTTGGTTACATGGACATATCTGGCTACAAAAGAAACTGGGATAGGCAGTCTTTCATTCTTAGTAACAAGGGGCTCAGATAAAAAATCGAGGTTTTGTTACTAAGGAGAAATGGGAAGAATGGAAGTTGGATAGGCAACTATCAATCCCTGTAACACCTTTCAAAATAAAAAGCAATAATGATTCCTGCACCCACCAAAGAGGACAGAGACGTATAAATAATAAACCAATAATCTCACCCTGTCTCCAACCTAGTCCCCACTCCAAGGTGTGAATTAGGGTCTAACTTTTCTCTATGCTCATACAAACACACACAAACTTATATATTCATATTTAGAGAGTTCTTTGTCTACTTTTTATGAAATGGGATCATATTATTTACATTACTCTTCAACTTGCTGTTTTCATTTAATCTGTCACAGACATCCCTCCATATTAACATGTATTGTCCTAATTCAGTCTTTTTAATAGCTGAATATCATGCAATAATTTCTCAACTACTTTCCTTTTGATGGCTATTCATATTGTTTCCAGTGTTTCACCACAACAAGAAATACTACAATGAACACCACATACTATATATATAGGTATTTTTAAATTATGCCATACCACATTGTTTTGATTACTGTAACTTTGTAGCAAGTTTTGAAATTGGGAGATGTGAGTCCTCCTACTTTGTTTTTCCTTTTCAAGATTGTTTTGGCTACTCTAGGTCCCTTGAAATTCCATATGAATTTTAGGACAGCTTTTTCTTTTCTGCAGAAAAAGGCCACTGGAATTTTGATAGAAATTGCACTGAATCTGTAGATAGCTTTGGGTAGTATTGCCATCTTAACAATACTAAATCTTTCAACCCATGAATATGAGATGTCTTTCCATTTATTTAGGTCTTTTTAAATTTCTTTCGTCAATCTTTTGTACAAGTCTTTCACCTCATTGTTTAAGTTTATTCCTAGGCATGTTATTCTTTTGGATGCTATTGTAAATGGAATTGTTTTCTTAATTTCCCTTTTGGATTGTTCACTGATGATATATAGAAACACAACTGATTTTTGTGTGTTGATTTTATACCCTGCAACTTTGCTGAATTCATTTATTAGCCCTAATTGGTTTTTTGTAGACTCTTTTGGGATTTTCTGTATACCACTGGGAATCACGACCCAGACAAGTTGACATGCAACCTTAACCATCACAGCCAGCGTTATTCTCACCTCACACCTCGAGGCTGGGTACCACCAGATGAAGGTCGTTAATACACAAAAGTCAGGTAGTAGATTTTTTGCTATTGTCATAAGTGTGAAATGTCAGATAACAAGTAGTCAATAAGTGAGGAGTAGGTGTATAGGCTTGTGCCATCTGCAAATGAGATAGTTTTGCTTCATCCTTTCCAATTTGGATGACTTTTGTTTCTTTTTCTTGCCTAATTGCTCTGGTTAGAATGTCCAGTATAATGTTGAATAGCAGTGGTGAAAGGGGGCTTCCTTGTCTCATTCCTGATATTAAGGTGAAAGCTTT